CCTGCAGAATATGGTTCCTTCTGTTCCTGCACCCCATTAAAAGGGTTTCCTGGGTCCCTCCCTGCATATTGGACAGATGGAGACTGACTTCCGTCCAAAGCATGGATTAGCCCTTATCCTCCCTCCCAGAATGCTTCACAGACAGGCTAAAAATAGGAAGGCCCCACAACAGAGGCATGGCAGGGAAAACAGAATCTACCTTGGTCTTCAACTTGCTGCATCCACACCACACTCTCTCATGCCTTCATTTCCTCCATGTCAGTTTGATAGCAAACGTGCTCAGTGAGCCCTGAATTGAATACAGAAGCTGATGCAGGAGTAATATATCTGGGAGTCTCTAAGAGTATAACCCACACAGTATAAATGAGGCAATTACCAATCCAGCTTGTACTCTGCTGCATGGGTGTGTTCTCAAACCCACCCTGTTGTTCTCCTTCATAACATGCTATCTTAGACCCTCAACTGACCTTACTGGGACCCAGTGCCTCTCTAAGAGAGCATGTACTCTGCTTCTGACCCGCTGGCAAGGAAGCTTCATCACCTGACTCTTTCAGCACCACACAACATTCCAGCACCTACCATCCACTCAACTATACAGGAAACATATTGCCTTGTAATAAAATAGTCTGCTGTAGATGTATTTTTAAATATATTAGCTCTATGAAAGCAGTTTTGTATGCAAGTGCAGCAATATTATTAGTGGGTGTTTTTGAATAATAAGTAAGTATTAAAAATCATTATATTAGGGGCCATTCAGTGCTGCAGCATAGTGGGCAATGTTGCCACCTAAGGCAACAGCATCTCATATGGTCATTGGTTCTAGCCCTATCCGCTATGCTACCAGTCCCATTCCCTATTTACGTTCATGGGAGAACAGCAGAGATTGATCCAGGTCCTTAGACCCATGCACTCACATGGGAGACCTGGAAGAGGCTTCCAGCTGCCAGCTTTAAATTGTCCCAATTCTGTAATTTGGGGACTTCATTTTCAAGATTTTTTTTTTGAAAGGCAGCTTTACAGAAAAGAGAGATAATGAAAGAGGAAGAGATCTTCCATCCACTGGTTCACTCCCCAAATGGTCACAACAACCAGAGCTAAGCTGATCTGAAGCCAGGAACCATGAGCCTCTTCCAGGTCTCCCACTTAGTTGCAGGAGCCCAAAGAGCTGAAGCCATCCTCCACTGTATCCCCAGGCTATAAGCAGGTAGCTGGATCAGAAGTGGATCAGCTGGGACTGAAACAGGCACCCTTTTAGGATGTTGGTACAGCAAAGCGGAGGATTAACCTGTTGAGCCAATGCATCAGCCCCACTTGCAGCCATTGGAGGAATGGACAAGCCGATGGAGAATCTCTGTCTTTCCCTCTCTAACTCCAAGTAAATACGTAACTCTTTAAAAGTCACTATCTCAACTTCACTGTGTTTCAGTTCTTCCAATGTTGTTGAATAGCTGACATGCTTCTGTAGGAGGCTGAACATTTTGATACTGTACTTCCTCTAAAGTCATTACAACTCTGAATTTCAGCGCCAGACTACAGAGAAGTAAGTGGCTGCAGACTCTCCAGAATTGTCTCTAGTCTGGGGAAAGTGAACAATTCTATTCATATACCCTGAAAAATAAAACATCATTGCTGTTTTATCTTTCATTCATGGCTGAAGACATCATCAGAAACCATAATCTCTGATGAATTCTGTGGAAGGACTCAACATGGCCGACAGTCACTGAGGATCAGCTTATCAAACAGCCAGGTGTTGTGGGGCTATGGAGAAGAAAAGGATGAGAGAAGGACAATTCAATTAGGGGTGGGAGGTAGACATGCAAATCAGCACAGTTACAGACAACCAAATAAGAAGCATTATGAATGTGACCATAAAGTTGATCTTTGTGATCACACAAGAAAACCACCAACTACATGGAAAGCAGCATTTGTATCAAATCTTGGAAATATATAGAAATTCAATCAGCATAAAGCAACAGAAAGGTAATTCAGTTTAAGAATACTATGAACAAAGAAAGGAAGATGTGAGTCTGTGACTTGTATGTGAGGAAAAAATGAGCAATCACTTACTGCTTTAGCCTATAACTTTAATATTTATTAAGACTCATGGGGGGGGGAGCTTGTTAAAATGTAGATGACCAGGCATCATTGCTAGTGGCTCTGATTCAATAAGTCTGAGATAGACTTAATTTTATAAACATCACAGATGATTCTGGGGAAGGTGATCTAAAAGCTCACCATTAAAAGTCTTCCATTAGGACACATGCTGCTTGGAAGGAAAACAACAATGGACAAGGTAGAAAGGCAGGTTGGGGGCATGTCATAGAGAATTTTGAATGTCACACTAAGGAAGTCATTCTACCAGCAGTGGGGAGACATAACTCTGTCTTAAAATGATTCCATTCTAGGTCAGCACCATGGAGTTTAGGCTAAGCCTCAGTCTGCAGTGCTGACATCCCATATGAGTGCCACTTCGGATCCCAGTTGCTCCAATTCTGATCCTGCAGTCAAGCAGCTAAGATCCCTGTCTGTCCTTCTCTCTGTAATTCTGCTTTTCAAAAACATACACACATAGATAACTAAATTTACAAAAACCATTCTATTCCACTTGAAAGGTTTAAAATATTCTAGTATCTTTGAAAAATACTGTGTTGGTGTGACAGGAATCTAGTCTAGCATTTAGAGATGTCCATATTCCACAACAGAGTGCCAGGGACTGATTCCAAGCTACTAACTCCAGCTTCCTGCTAAAGAGGACTCCGGAGGATCAAACAGTTGGATTCCTAGAACTCATGAGGGAGATCAGACTGCATTTCCAGTTCCTGACTTTGGCCCTGCACAGCCCTGGTTCATTCATTCATTCGTCCATTCTATCTCTCTCTCCTTCCCTCTCTCCCTCCCCCCTCCCTTTACCCCTCCCTTTTAATAAAAAAAAAAACTTCATAAAAAATTAATTCACAGAAAATGGAAACAGAAGATGTGCATCATATAATAGAAATACAAGTATGGTATTAAAAAGAACCCCCTTGCTTTGAGGAATTTACTATAGAAATAGTAACTAGTTCACTTAATGATTTTATATTTCATTTTTTAATATAGAGCTGTTGGTTGTAACAGTAAGCAAAAATGATTTGGGATTACTGCTAGGATGCTGCTGCTGGGTATATGTGTTGCTGAAGCAAGCAGGATGCTGCTGCTCAGAAAAGGATAAAATTAATTGGGGCCTAAAGATCTGTGTGGTCACACTCTCTTTTTGCTTAAATGAGTAAAGACAAAGCTACTTTTATAAACATAGAAACAACAAGAGGCATATCATATCACTAAAATAAAACAAACACAAACTTGTCAAGTTTTGAATCAGAACACTCAGGAAAATCACTTCAACAGTTGTCCTTGTAGAGGAACAGTTCTCAAGCTTTCCAATACATTTGCTTTCCAATACATTAATGTGGACCCCCAAAAACATATTTTTTAAAATGAGTTACATCCATATATATTCATTAGATTCCATGTCAAGACTAAGTATTCATAAACATTTAAAAAAATAATAAACCATTACATCTTAGCATAAATAACCTTTTATTTAAAAATAGCAAACACTTGTAAAAACCAAAAATTTTTAATGAGTGAAACTATTTTTGCAGTTATACAAATTTCTTTAATGTCTAGTTTCATAGAAAACATCCACATCTCCATTCAACCTGTCGTGCTATCAAGCGTCGCGTAGCCTCTGGAAAACTCCTCTCCATATTTATAACAGAAGGAGACAGTAAAAGACAAATGATGTGTCTGTTTTATTACGAAAACAGTTTGGAGCTCACAGAACCTCTGACTTTGGCTCGCAGACCTCTAAGGTTGCTAGAGCATACTCTGATTCCAGACTCCGTTACTCTGAGCTGGAGTGAGGACATCTGATACACAGGCAGACCTGACTGCAGCTAGACAGCATGCACTGACGTGCCCTGACGTGCCCTGACGTGCCCTGTACGGCACGAATCCAGACTGACAAGAAAGGTGCTAGGAACCACATCTATGCAGGTCCAGGAAACAACCAGAATTAAGTTAACCACTGCAGATAGTTAAAGATGAGTGAGAAAACTGACACAAAGTACCTAAAGCTTGTTTTCCTTAAATTTCACTCTAGAGAGTTCAGGACACTAACTGGGCATTCAAAGAAAACCACTTTATAGAAAAATGAGAAAGCACATTTTTAAATTCTGCTCCCAAAGCCCTGCTTCAAAAGAGCAAACGCCCAAGGGGTGGGGTCTGCACAACGGTATTTTTACCTACTTCCAAGTTTAGGAATCCTGGTTTGTGTTTTATATATAGTAATAATGTGAGCTGGTTATATAAAAGTAACATTAATTTTGATTTTGATTCCTAAGTGAATACATCTTCCTCTAACTTCATCTACAGCGGTACTGGTTGGTCTCTGCTGAATGACGTCTCCCTCTTGGTAAGGAATGTGTGTCTCCCAGAAAGCTCAGCTTGGTTGTCGTGGGTAAGCCTTCTGTCCCAGGATTTTAAAAATCACACACCCATTTTCTAAATATGACAGGCATACTACTTACTGAGAAATACGGGCTTTTTCATCTATATACTGTTTTTCCTTAAAATCTATCTAAAAATTAAAATGGTGGAAAATGCTATTGCTATTCATAAAACAAATAATGGATGCACTGTTTCCATAATAAACATTTAAAAGGTTTGTTCCTGATGGAAACTCATTGTTACAGAATAAAAATCTTGGAACGGAAAAAGAAGTACCTTCATATATAATCTACACTGGGGGATGCAAATTGTACAGAAACAGACACCAAAGGATTTGCATGTAATCAAATCTAAAGCAGTCATTTCAGAAGCATCACTACTGCGTACAGGAGGCTTACCCACCACGACCTGAGCTTTCTGGGAGACACACATTCCTTACCAAGAGGGAGACGCCATTCACCAGAGACCAACCAGCACTGCTGTCGAGAAGGAAACTCATAAAACCACTCAACATGGAAAGCGGTAAGTTGATGCCAGTTAGGACTACCTTTAAAATATAGCACTGATCCTAATTTTTATATTTTTGATGGTCCAAAGTCATGATATGAAGCAAAGATAAAGTAGAAATATTACCAATTCTGACTAGAACATACAAAAATGGGAAAACAACATAGATCAGAGGAGAAGTAATTAGAGCTTTTCATAACACTTTCATAATACATATTGCTAGATTTGACTTTTGTTGCAGAGTGTATATTGGTATGATTCTAGAAGATAACTTAGATGAACATGATTTTCATAAAATGAGGACCTGAATATATACACATTCTTTTCCAGTGTGCTGAAATTTTATGTCACTTGGAATGCAATTTCAGTCAGCCTTTGATTATCAAGTGCAGAAGAAGAATCCACATTTGCACAGAGCTAAAAATAAGTTTGATTCATGCATCTTGACTCAGATTTTTAGGCTAAGAATGAAGGATAATATACATTTACATATGACAAGGAAGAGCCTAAGCTGTTATTTCATGAATTCAAACTATAGGTTGACCCTTTCTGACCTGTTCATCCTGAAGAAATAAATGTAACTGTCAATCTAGGGTCAAATCTACCTATTGCAAGACAAATTGGGAATTTAAAGAAGTTAGAGTTGTAAATGTTAATAAATAAATGATGACAGAAGGAATATTTCAAAGTAAAGTGCCTTGAAAGAAAAATTTATATTTTAAAGTGCTGTGGCTCTTCGAAGTCTTATTGCAGAAGATAAGAAGACAGTAAGGAACATGTAGCTTTTACAGCATGGCATTGGTTATGAGCAGTAATGCTGGTTTTAGATCCAGTTATGAGGCTTAAAAGGTGTGAGACAGGGACACTGGGAGGGGGCTTTGGATGCCTACTGTGCAGGCCAATCAGAATGTCCACAAAACCATAACATGTTAACTAACTTGACCTCACCTTTGTAAAACTTGCAATTTTTATTTTAAGTAAAAGATTTCTTAAGTACTACACATTGTTTTTTGCTTACCAATAGTTTGAACATTTCCCAATTCTCAATGAACTTGGAGACCTAAGGTAAGACATGTTGCCTTACCTTGTAAAATTCTCCCAGAGGTTTTCTGTGATAAAACTAACATATCATCTCCACAGACAAGAAGGGTTTTTAGAACATTGGGCTCCAAACACCATAAAGCTGGAAGGTTTGGTGCCTAAACAGGCTTGCACTTTCTCAGTGCAGGGGCTCAATTGTTCAGCTGAGCTGGGATAGTGGAGGAAGAAGAGGGACTGGCATAGCTGTGAGGGCTGGCACCTGAGCCAGATGGCAGCCCAAATCACGAGATTGCCATTGGACTATTCACTACCACATCAGTGGCATGTCCCTGGTAGGCAGAGGATGGAAATATGGAAACTATCCACCAATAACCCACCATTCTGGGTTTTTATTGTGTTCTGTTTTGAGTGCCAATATGCCTGTGTTCCACTGTCATGAAGGACTATCACTCAGAGAGACACCATATGCCATCCTCGGCTGGGCCATTTTCCAGTCAAGAGAACTCAAAAACATACAATCTGGATTTTAAAGTTGTGCAGTAGTTTTAGTTTTCTCTTTTTTTATTTAGAACTATGTATTTCCTTACCTTATGTCACAAACACCTGCTCAGAAATTCTAAAAGCTTAAAAGAAAATGTATTCCACAAATATCATTAAGCACAGTAAAAGAATGGGTTTCAGATACCTATTTATCATTTAAAAACTAGAAATACTCTTGGATCACCTGTATTTTAAAAATATTCAGCTTCAGATTATTAAAAACATAAAAAATATCAAATCAATTTCAATTTGATAGAAAAAAATGCTTAATTTTAAAAAAACAGTATTAAGGCAACAGCACTTTTAAATGTAATACAAACCAACTTCTTTAAAGACACGAATAAGCAACAATTTCTTATATGTACATATTTATAATCCTACAGTGCCAAATTATTTTTTTCCGAATTCTAAAGGGTAGGCTGTTTCCTATTGATGAATTTGCTTGTTCTTTCTCTCAGGAAACACATGTCTTTGTTTTCTCAACAACCGATCTGAATGTAGGTCTGTATCAAGAGCATTTGAATAAAAACTCTTAAGCTCTCCTGGTTCATACAGGTGTGGATTCTTTAAATAGACACAATGCACAGGGGAAAATTAATGTTTTGGTGTAGGAATACTGGCAACAATTTTTAACTCTCAATAGCACCCTTTTTCAAAAGAGGGTGGAATAAATTAACATACTTTCAGAGTTTTCTCAAACACACATGACAAATGCTCCAGCTAAGATCTTTAAAAATTGGTGCTGGGTTCCACCACTTTATAAAGACTGATTTTGATTCCCCCTTTGTGCTGCTGTAGAATACAGATAACACTGCCCTGGAGCATGAGCCATCCCACTATCTATATTTCCTTACAACCTGTGCTCCCACAAAGCCCACCAAAAAATCTCATTCCTCCTTCTATGAAATTGCTCTTGCTCACCTTATGAAGTTCTTTGCTTTCCTAAGCCCTTTGCTCTTCCTCATTTTGTTCACCTTTTCCAAAGCATTTTATTTATTCCATAATTATTTACTTAGCATCTACAAGGTGCCACACATCCCTGAGTATTCATCTTTCTACATACTTCTTCATTTCCCTGATGTTACCATTCTGGTACATCCTTCCCCTTCAGCTTCTATTTCCCTCGACTCCTACATGTTCAGTCCTTCCTTGGTCCTTTCCCTCCTTTGGGCTTCAGGACAGTATCCATTACTCAAAGCTCCATGCTTGAGTCTCTTTTCTTTCTATAAGCTCTTCCTTGGAGAGCTTTATTTTTACAGTTTTAGTCATCATAATTTTAGAGATGTTTCTTAGTTATATACGCCTAACCCTGGTCCAAATCGTCAACCTATCTATAGGACATTTTAATCTTTACTTCATTGCATCATCACAGCCTCAAAGTCAACATATTTAAAACTGAATTCTTTATCCCTACAAAACCAGTTTTTTTCACTGACTTCTTGAGTCCTCTTCTTAACCATGGCATAGTTTTCCTGTGTATTTCATGAAAAGTCTCTGAAATATATTCTTCCTACATCACTGCCACTGTTTCCAGCTAGCCTTTAAACATTTTATAATTTTTTACTTCCTTGCTTCCTCATTTTCAACCCATGCTAGGATTTGGTCTCAAATTAATCTTCTAAAAGTCATTCTAGGTCTTCCAAAACCAAATTAAAAGTACAATATTCTTCTAAATAATTTAGTTGTTTGCATTATAAGGTACATTCATGTGACTCATAACATTTAAATGACAGATTGCATCCAGTCCCATAGATTATAATGCCCAGTGATGTCATAAAAGCCTTTCGTTTGCATAAGTCCACTCTATGATGTTTGCACAATGGTGCAATCTTGTAGTAATGCATTCCTTGGAACTCAACCCTGAGATCAACCCTAAGTATAAATTTATAAAGCTAGATTTTTAAAACCTTCAACATTGTCATTATTCTCAAACAAAAAACAAAGTCTTTCAATCAATACTTACTAAATATCTACTATGTGCCAGGCACAAATATGCATCGATGAGTAAAACCAGGCAGTTTCTCATCCTCACAAAGCTTATCTGCTATCAAGGAGCAGGCAGAGGATAAACAATAAGTTCATTATATAAAGAAATCACAGGACATTATAAAGTGACTGCTGCCACACAGAAAGAAAAGACAATAGGATAAGGCGGGGTGGTCAAAACCATTTCATGGCAAAGAGGTAACTTACATAAGTACCTATGGAGAAGATGGCATTTGAACCAAGACCTGAAGAAGACAATAGCATGTAGTCATGTGGATAACGCAGGGCAGAACATTCCAGATAACTGATAGAGGTAGTCAGTGGAAAGTTCTTGAGGCAAAAGTGCACTGCATTTCAGAAACTGGCTGAAGAACAGGCTCTAAGGGAAAGAGTCTTAGGAGCTGAGAACATAGTCACCAGGGAATAGGGTCATGTGGGGTTGTTGTAGAAACTTTGGTGCTTACTCTGAGGAAATCAGAAATCATTAGATTCAAGCCCAGAAAAGATGTCATTGAAATTTTTAAGATTCACTCCAGCTTCTGTATTGAAAATAGTCTTGGGTCAGAGGTAAAGAAGAGAAGAAGGAAGACAAGTTAGATGGCTATGACAGTAATCTACAAGAAACAACCACAGAATTAACCTGGATAATAGCAGGAGAGAGAGAAGGGAGAAAGAGAGGACGAGAGGGAGAGAAGAGAGAGGGAGCGAGAGAGGAAGGGAGGGAAGGAGAGAACGGCACAATATCACCAGACTCTAGATCTTTCTGCAAGTAGTGCCATCACATATTCCTAAAGGATGGGTTGTGAAGTGTGAGAGAAGGAAAAGAATAAAGGATGACACTACAGCTTAAGGACTGAGCAACTGCAAGGATTCATATGCCATCATCTGTATTAGAGAAGGCTTCAGATAAAGGAAATTAGAAGGGAAGAATTAACTTCACATCTGGACATGTGGAGTTTGAGACATCTGAAGATCAAGGTGTAGGTGGATAGTCAACTCTAAAAGTAAGGTGTGAGCTTGAAATATGCATTTAAAATTCATTTACATAGAGATGGCATTTAAATCTAGCAACTTCAGTTACACTAGGTCCTTACCCCTTTTGCACAGGTGTTGCTTCTTCCTGTCTCTTCACTTGCTTATGTCCACCGACTGTCTACAAGGCCTTTCCCTCCCCTCCCATCTGATCCATATTATTATAAATGTAATCTGAATCTCATCTCTCCCCATAGAACTTTCATCGTTGAACCAAAGTGTCACTGTCATGCCTTTTCTGCTCTTTCACATATAATTGTCTTATTTCTCTTACTAAAAAAGGATCTCTTTGAGAACATCTGTTATGTGTTCCAAGCTTATTTTTCATCCCCTGTGGCATGTAGTCCCATACTTGGCACTACGTTGATGCCAACTTGTATATAAGACTGATTCCCTTACGCTATGATCTGATTATTTGCTATCTCAATAGCTTTATTCTTATATTATTTATCATATGGTTATGTCTTAAACCTACTTAGGAGAATCTCCCTTAGGGTTTTCAGCATATCTACAAAGCAAGAATTGCTATTTCATATCACAATTGTCAATTAAAAATCCCTTCAGGAAAAAGTGAAACCATGATTCCCTCAGTCACAGAGGATATGGTCTGCACCCCTTTAACTGCCCCACCCCCTCCTTCTCTGACTTAGGTTTATAGACCTACTATTGATCATTTAGGCAGCTCACTTCCTGCTCAGCCATGACTGACCTGGCTCAAGCTGTCCTCCCATCTCTGTCACAGTAACCTCCAAAATATCTTCCTTCTTTGTAGGAAAGATCATCAAAACAGTGTATACATTATGAATAAACTATTCATGAAGTTCAATTTTTTGCACAGAAATAAGCATCTTTTAATTCTATATTTCCACAAACTTTTGAAGGCCAGTTGTATATATATAGTCCTCAAACCTAAAAGTCAAAAGCACCTGGAGGGCCAGACCACAGCCTGAGGGTTTCTGGTTCAGTAGTTTGGGGTAGGGCCTGAGACTGTAAATTCTTAAGTCTCTAGCCAGTACTGATGTGGCTGGTCCAGGGATCACCCTTGGGAGTTCCTGGAAAACGAGCTCCCTCTCACCCTGCCTTGTTCTGACCTCCAGTATTTCAGTGATCTCTGGGTCAGGCTGCTCCAGGTTGAGTAGTCATTAATAAAATGCCCACTCCATCCCCACACTCTGCCCTTCTTTATTCCAGTTACAATGGTTGAGGCATTTATCCCCTGACTCCAATCCCATTCTTCCTCCATAAGATGTTCTCCCATAATCTCCCACTTCTTACCTAAATTTTCAGTCTTTTCCTCTACCCTCTTCAGACATCCACAACTCTCTCCTGTCCTTAAATACATAGTTATAAAAAGCACAGCAAAGCTCGCCTGATGCTGGCATTCTCTCCCATTCTCATCTACTCTCTTGTTTTTCTTGATTCCTTCAAACTTCAAGAGTAAGCAGTTTGTCCTTCCTACCTCCACATTTTCCAAAATCATTCTTGCTAAATGAAGCCCAACAACTGAACTGGAAGTAACAAATGTTTCTCTATCTTTTCTGGCATAATCTTCCTGGATCATTCTACCCTGAAAGTTTTTTATTCCTCTTTTGACAAACCTCTTCCCTGGAGTTCTCCAATGCCTATTCTCCTGATTTGCGCTGGTGCTTCTCCAACTAGTCTTCCCATGCTGTTTTCACAAGGTTATCTTCTCCTCCTTCTTCAAATTTGAATGATCCTTGGTCTTCCATCTTTAATATTTTAGTCTAGGACTTCCCAACCAGTGGTTCAGAATTCAGTCCCCAGGTATTCTCAGGACATGAATCTTCTCAGCCCTTGGTCTGTTCATCTTAGAGTTTGACACACATCACTGGTGTCTGTGTGTGCTGTCACATGATGGCTCCCACACACTGCTCCAAGGGATGTTCTCCTCTTGCCTGGATTCATTATCACCCACTTCACGATGGCTCCAAAGCAGGTGTACCCAGAGCTATCTCTGGACAGAAACTTCAGAATCCCCCTTGGATCATTCCCTCATCTTTACTTACCAAATCTGAATAATTTCTGTATCTGTGGAAGCCTTCCTTTCCCTATTCAGATTATCATGCCTGAATTATTCTAGGGTTCTTCTGACTTATCTCCCTATACTTTGTGATTAGATCCACCCTCCACACAGATGCCAGAAAAGTCCTTCTTAAATGCAAATCTAAGCACACACCCCTTTGTTCTAAAGCCTCTGATGATCATGGTGAGAAGGTGAAGTCCAGACTCCTTTCCCACACCAGGACCCTCGTGACAGATCTGTGCTCCTTTTCAAGCCTGTGTTCCCTCCATTTCTACCCTCACACTCCTGGTCTGCTCTAGCCCATGAACCTTCTACAACTAGAATGATCCTGCCCATTTTGTTAGTATCACCCCACAACCCCTCACCCCCAAGCTCCACTCAGCTATCACTTTGTCACCCTGACTCCCTTCCTATGCCCACAAGGAAGTAGTGAATTCTAATTCTTTCAGTACTTTTTATTACACTCAGCAATAAAATCTGCATTATGATCTTTTCTAGTATTTCTCCCCTAAGTGAGACAGTACACACTTTTGTATCCCTAGTTCTGACATATAGAAAATATCCAGTAAATAACTGGTACACAAAGGTAGCCTTGGATTTTCCCATAATCCTTGAAGCCATACTTAGATCTCTTTGGAACGAGGTCATTGGCCTTTAAATTGGAGGAAGTACTTCCAGCCTCTACAACTAAAAGACATCCATATAGAACAACCTCTGCCAAAATTAGACCAAAATGGTCAAACAGCTTTGATTTTGTTGATTTTGTGATTTGCATATGACTTTATTTGAACTAAATACTACATTGCCTTGGACCTTAGATTTGTTTGCCTTTATTTTTGTATGGATGTTTTATATAATACCTGCTAGTTTCCAAAGCATTTTCATGTGCATATCTCATTCTTCACTTACACATCTCTGAAGACATCTAAGAAAAACATGTTTTACACAGGAAGAAAACAGAGCTGAGAGACTGTCATATTCCCAGTTCAGTGATTAACAGGTAGCTGTGCACACCCTGTCTCTTAGGCCAGTCCTTCCTTTACTCAAGGCATTGTCTGTCTCTGGCTGCAACTTCAATCTTTTTTTTTTTTACTTGTTTTGCAGAATTTAACTTTCATATCCAATACATCCTAGGCTATCTATGAATCAAATCAAATTAGAGAATTTTTTTATTATGGGCTTCATACAAATATGCATTAGTATAATCTGCCATTTTAGCTTGATGCTGACTCCTGTCCCAGATGAATTTACTAATAAGCCAGCAAACACCTCAATTATTTTTCTCTTATTTTTATTATCTAAATGTCAAAAAGAAAGGGAGAGAGATCCTCCATCCACCAGCTCTTTGTTCAAATGCCTGATATCGCTGGACTAGACCAACTCTAAGCTGACAGTCCAGAACTCAATGTAGGTCTCCCACATGGACAGCTGAGACCTAAACACTTCAGCCATCATCGGCTGCCTCCCAGGGTATACATTAGCAGGAAGCTGGAATCACAGGTGCAGCCGGGACTCAAATCCATGCATTTGGATATAAGTTGCAGACATTCCAAGAGGTGTCTTAACCACCAAGCACCTCCTCCAGTAACAACAACTCAATGAAAACAAAGTGAAACCAATCTATTCCAGAGTTAGAGAACAGTTGAAAGTTTCTATAGTTCAACCACTAATTTAGGCCTTCCAGGCTTTCTGAAACAGCCTAAGCATAAGATTTCCCTGTCACTACTTGATCATTCTGAGTGATAGTTCACTAGCCCTGGAAAAAGTGATGCTAATGTTAGAGACTAGGAGAAATATTTTTTCCTTTGTAGCTTTCTCATAATGAAAATAACAAATACTTCTAGTTAGTATTACAGACTGAAGTCTGAATCCCAGCCCTGTTATCAGCAATTTTAAAACTCTGCAAAAAAACAGCTCTGAAACCCAAATGCATCAGAGAAATAATATTTATAAATTGTCAAGCACAATGATCCTCCACTAATTGCACACAGTGAGCACTTGAAAAACAATTGTTGAATGACTAAATAACTCTCCTCTTGTTTTGGGCCTAATTTTAAAGCTATAGTTCCTGATATCCAATCATCAAATCTTCAAAAACCAAGCCTATTTTCTTAAAGATTTACTTATTTGAAATTTAGAAGTACAAAGAGAGAGAGAGAGAGAGAGAGAGAAAGGGAGAGCCTGAAAGAGATGCCCCATCTGCTGGTTCACTCCCCAAATGGCCACAACACCCAAAGCTGGGTCAGGTAGAAAGCAGGATCAGGAGCTTCTTTCAGGTCTTTTTCATATGGAATGCAGAGGCCCAAGGACTTGATCCATCCTTTGCCCCTTTTCTGATTAACAGGGAGCTAGATCAGAAATGGAATAACTGGGATTCAAACTGACATTTACATGGGATGCCAGCACTGCAGACAACATTTTAAATCACCAGCCCCAATAAAACATTTTTTTAGTGCACTAAACAGATTACGAATGGCTTTCTTCTTAGGAACAAAAACCTCTTAAAACAGTCACTGGGGCCAACATTGTGGTATACCAGGTTAAACTGCCACCTATGATGTCAGCATCCCCCCACGAGTGCTAGTTCAAGTTCTGGCTTCTCCACTTCCAGTTCAGTGCCCTGAAAATGTACCTGAGAAAGCAGTGGAAAATTACCCAAATGGAATTCCAGGTTCTTGGATTCGGCATGGCCCAGCCTTGGCCACTGCAGCCGCTTGAAGATTAAACCAGCATGGAAGATCTCTGTCTCTCTCTCTCTCTCTCTCTAACTTTGTCTTTCAAATACATAAATAAACCATTACAGAGGGAAAAAACAACAGCCCAGATGACCTGCACACTCACAAGAGATCTCTTGTCATCTGAACAATGCAAATCTTAATCTTTCTGGAGTGGAAGTTTCAAGCTGCTTCCAATCCTCTGTATTGTGATTAATGCATAAACTATAATTAGTGATACAACAAAACACAAAAACACAGGGTTCTTTTAAGAAACATTCTGTAAAAAATGAACTAGCATTTCTTTCCCTTAAGCGAAGCTTGGATGAAGCTATCAAAGACCAGGAGATAGGACTCTACGGAAGCTTCTTCAAATTCAGTAATTTTATTATTGTAATGAGGAAATAGCATCACCACCATCAGCCCTTGGATATGTCCCTCAGTAGGTTAACCTAATTACTCTAATTGTATCTGACTGTGACTATTTCATTTGCTTAAGTCCCAGGAGAATACAACAAACGAGTATACCAAGGGGTGAGAGTGAAGCACACAGTCAAAGATCTCCTGGCAGAGAAACGGTCCAGACAGACAAGTAACTCAAGATTCAACGTAAGTGCCAATTTAATGTATTCTAAAGCATTAGAGTTTGAGCTTCCTCTACAGGTTAGTCATCTGCCCTTTCCCCTTATCTCTATATCTATCTCCCACCTTCACCTCCTCCACCCACTATTGTCAACAGAAAAGTTCCTTTTTAACTGGTCCACACTACATAATTACATTGACTTTTCCCTCCTCTTTTTTCCCTATGATAGATAATCTGCCCATACCAAGCACACCTGCTTGATATCTCCTATCTCTCACTAGTGATACTAATGTTTATATTTGAACTTCCACATTTTCTTATGCCCTCATCATGCTATTCTAGGTTATACTGGCTTGTGTGTCCTTTTAAGGAAAGGTTGTTATACCTCTACTTACATGCTATTGATTATACATCTTGGAAACAGAGGTTGTGTTCCTGTGTAACTGTACATCCTATAAATCACAGTAGCTAAATGCTAGCATTCCTCCTGACAAACAGGCCTGGTAAAATGGACAGGATGTGTGCAAAAAGGGGGTCATTCCCCTGCCAGGAACCAGTTGTATGATCCTGGTAAGCTCACTTTACTTCTCTGGCCCACCATAAAGTGAATCAATCAAAATGAATCTGTTTCAATTATACAAATCTGTATTATGACAGCGCACCTGTTATTCACTGATGTGTGCTCCAAGACCTGTGATTGTATTGCCCAGCTATGTCAGTGAGTGACAACGAAAACATGATATATCCCAACTGTTTTCATGTTTTCCATCTGTAAATTATCAAGGGCCCAGTTGGTGGGAGTAATGATGACCTTCCTACACATGCTATTCTAAACCCAATACAAATAACTAGGAAGATATCCCCCCTCGGTAGCATGCAGAATCAGACTTTTAAAACCCTAGAGTAAGAGATGCCTTGATTCTGAAACCCTTACCTGCTATCTTTGCCTTCTGTTTTATCTGTTCCTATGCATCCAGAGCTCCAAAAGAACTTCCAAAATAGCAATAGCACTTAACTGTAGAGATTGGTATATAACTACCTATTCTGCTAGATAAAATACAGTGTCATAGCAGCCTTCTGTTGGGCATTGGCAGATGAAGAATAAATGAGACAATAATGCACAGGACCTAATGTAGGGGCCAAAACACAATAGGTACTTCTACAGTTTGCTGCAAATGCTGACAGCATGTTCAACAGGGCTCTGAAATCAAACTCCTGGAGTATGTTTCAAGTTAACCAACTCCAGCTTCAGTTTTCTCTTATTTATTTGCACCTTTGATTACAAGCTTTTTGTGATTCTTTCTTTTAAGCCACCTTCTCCCTTCTAATTCAATAAATGGACTTTAGCTGAATAGACGGAAATCTAATCAACTCCTTGCTGATCCTACTTCAATCTTTCTCATAATGCCTGCTTCAAATCATCTACAGTATGTGTTTAAAATATTGATGTAAACTTAGTCTCTTGAGAAAAGCATACACATGGAGAAAAGAGAAAGAGTAAGAGTGATCTAAAGTCAACTGGAAATGAGTCACATATTCAGTGGTTGGTAGAACTAATATAAACTGCCACAATCACAAGTATAGAATGAACTGTGAAACTTGATCAAAGTGCAGCCAGACTATTAATTGGAAAGACAATACTCATTTATAATGATAAGGAACAGAAATTGTATCTGCGCAGTGTGAATGAAGATATAACAAACCTTAGTTTTCATCAATACTTAAATATAAATGAAATGGAACTCTATCAGAGCTATGTATAGAATACAAAACAATATAGTGTAGACAAGTGAAATTAACATCTGGAGATTCCATGATTAGAGCTCTTGTCTATACTCCTGGGGAATGGTGGCCTTTCTACTATGTATTTGTTGAATTCTTTAATAAAGGACTAAACTTGAAACTTGTGATTGTAATTTGGAAATATAACAAAAAAAAGTAAAATAAGGAGGTAAGGAAATGCATAAAATCTGTTGTCTTTATACAATAAGCAATTTTATTAAAAAAGAATATAAGTTTCATGAAAAGACAAAAAGAAAAATCAGCATTGTCATGCAGCAGGTTAAGCCTCCTTTTATCACACCAACATCCCATTTCAGAGTGCCAGTTAAACTCCTCGTTACCCTGTTTCCAAGCCAGAAAATATTGGTCCACATGCTTTAGCCCCTGTGATCCATGCTGAAGACCTGAATACAGTTCCTGGCTTCTGGCTTCTGCAAATTCCAGCCCTAGCTATTGTAGACATTTGAGCAATGAACCAATGGAAGAAGACGCTTCTTTGTCCCATATTCCCAAATATTTTGCCTTTCAAATACACTAATAAAAACACAAAAAGGCATACACACAATGGTAAAAATATTTCTCTTTTAATTCTTATTTTTCATGATAGTTTCACAGGCTCAGGAATTTGCCCTTCCACTCTCCCTATCCCCCTTCCACATTTTTCTCCAATATTATTATAGTAGTATACACCTTTAGCAACAATCACAAATCTATGATTCTGCTATTTAAGTGTAACATGATGTATAGACAATGGTAGAAAGTCCAGCATCCTACTGTCAAGATATACCCAACAGTTTCTTTGGGAATCCACCTGTTATTCCAAGTAGAGATGCATACTGCAATATATCTTCCTCTTGGTATACCAGTTTCCATTATACAGTTTCTCTGAGTCTATTTGTGTGTGTGTGTGTGTGTGTGTGTGTGTGTGTGTGTGTGTACACATATATATACACACACATTATATATATATATTTACCAATAAATATTAATCTTGTATTTTGCATGACGTTTACCTTTTAGTAGAGAGATTATGTGATATTTGACCTTTTGCCTAATTTCACTAAGCATAATGGTCTCTAATTGGGACTATTTTGTTGCAAATGGTAAAATTTCATTCTTTTTAATGGCTGAGAAATATTCCATGGAGAAGATATACCACAGCTTGTTTTACCCATTCCTCTTTCGACAGTCATCTTGGTTATTTCCACATTCCTCTATTATAGAATGTGCTGCTATAAATATAGGAGCACAGGTCACTTTCTCATATATAGATTTCATTTCCTTTGGAGATAATCCCAGGAGTTAGATAGCTGGGCCATACAGTATATCATTTTCAGTTGTCTTAGCACTCTCCATACTGACTTACATGACAACTGTAATAGTCTACACTCCCACCAACAATGAAGTAAGGCATATTCCTCCCCAACATTTCTCTGAAAATTTAGTTCATATTGGAGTAGCTATTTGAACTGGCAGTGAAGAGGCCAGCTAGGATACCCATATCTCATATTGGAGTACCTAGATCAATAATAGATGCATTTGGCTCCTGACTTCAACTTCCTGCTAACTCAGACTCTGGGAGACAGTGTTGATGGTTCAAGTCTTTGGATTCCTGCCACCCATAGGGGAGACTTTGAAACCATCCTTTCTGTAGTAATTTGTCTTTGCTATCCTGGAAAACTAACATATGCGTTATGAAAATTGTCATCCTGGATACATAAGCATCAGGAAGTATTACATTTGATGCCAAACTACTGCTTTCTAAGAATGCTCTGATATGTTTATGCAAGATCATGTTGATCCATCTTACCACAATTTCCTTAGAGAACATCTGCTTTTAATACTATGAAAGGCCTTTCACATGTTTGTAATAGAAAAGAAAAACAAAAATCCCTTGCATTAAGAGGCTTTCACCAAAGACTGTAAATTAAAACCACTTCTATACATTTTAGCCTTAATTCTGTGATTTACAGCTTGTGTGCCTATCTACTTCTAAGTAATGGTTTTTCATTCTCCTTTGTAAATTTTTATTCTTATTCTTTACTGCTAAATCTTCTACCAGAATATATAAATATGATCCAGCCACCAACATTTAGTACCAAAAGTGTATAGTTAGACCTTCGATCGCAGCATTTTTTTCAATAGCACTATTTAAAATCAACTTTCATAAAAGTTAATCATTGGGGCCCAGCACGATAGCGTAATGCTTAAGGTCCTCACCTTGAACACACCAGGATCCCATATGGGCGCCAGTTCTAATCCTGGCAGCTCCACTGTCCATCCAGCTCCCTGCTTGTGCCCCGGGAAAGCAGCTGAGGATGGACCAAGGCCTTGGGACCCTGCACCCATGTGGGAGACCCAGAAAGAAGTTCCTGGCTGCTGGCTTTGGACTGGCGCAGCACCAGCCGTTGCGGCCACTTGGGGAGTGAATCATCAGATGGAAGATCTTTCTCTCTGTCTCTCCTCCTCTCTGTACATTTGCCTTTCCAAGAAAATAAATAAATCTTTTTTTAAAAAAAGTTAATCATTGAATTTTACAAAATAACATTATAAAATTCAATAAGCTTTCTATTATCTTTGCAGCAATATGTCTAACAGCCACAATTTTTCAGTGTTTAACTTCAGTGAATTATTGGATTTTCTAATCAATTTTTTTCTTAAGATATAATAAAGATTAATTTTAAATAACAATATATCACAGGTGGCATAAAAAGTGAATTTTAAAAACTACTTGGGTAGGAGTTTTAAATGGAAATCAGTTTGGAATTAAAATAATAAAAACATTAAGAATGTGGGAGAGAAAGAAGGTTATCATGCAATAAGAGAAGGATTAGGGGTTAGCATCATGGCACAGATTAAGCTGTCACTTGTAATGCCAGTATCCTATCTTACCACTGATTCAAGTCCAAAACAAAGTAAAATAAATTTACTGCCGAAAGAAGGAATGTTATGCAATATGAGGTTGGTTGAGGAGGGGTCTAGGAGTTAGGGCCTAATGGTGAAACAGCTCAATTTATACACACAGTGATTATTTGTTTGGCTCATTCACCAAAATACTTCAGTCTACAACAATAAAGAAATAGAAACAAAAGGTCTTTTAATTTTCTACATAGACATCAGAAAAAGTAAGAAAATTTCTTGTTCTATTTTTGGAAAGTATAAACAGAGGGAAATGTTAAGAAGATATAACCTGAGTGGTAAATTATACATGTGAATCATATATATATAATTTATATATAATTAT